AAAAAGAGCGACTATCACCATAAGTGCACCTCCCAAACGGAGCCCTACTCGTGCGCTGTGAGACCCCGACTCTACTGACAATATTCCATGGAAAAATGTACGGACATGACCTCACAAATATCTCTTCACCAACGAGCAAAAGGAAATGTGCTACAAACTTCTACATCGCTGTTCTCCGCTAAAGAATCATCTAAGAAGGACAACGGACACAAACTGAAAAATGAAACCACCTCTCACTTACTTCGGACCTGCTCAGACTCTGTGATTTTGGAATGAATTCATAAAACGCCCTTGAAACGACACATAATCTGCAGCCATCAGATAAATGTTTGTTTGTTATGAAGACATTTACCCGACCAACTCCCATTGGGCGCCACAGTTTTCTAACAGTGAAGAAACCTGACATGTTTCTTTTATTAAGTCGTTTTAGATCATTATTGCAATTTCCAAAGATCCAAGAGATAAAATTAATCCACAGGTGTCATAGATTATAACTATAACAGACAGAAGCACAACAGGTCGGCTCTAAAGCTTGAATGCGTAACATTGCAGCCAATAATAAAATAAAAGCATTTATTTAAGTGTGTATTTTATCACTATCAAATACAGTGATGTACGTAGATTTTTACTATGAGCATTTTCAGTTCAAGTGGAGCTTTAACTAATGCCATTCATTTCCTGTTTTGAGTGAATTCTTGGCATGTTTTTTTTTGTTTTGTAATAAAACTTTCAGCAGAAACTGATCCATCCCCAAACAAACTCATTTGTGACACAGACAAAGCAGAAATGTAATTACTGTGTTTACAAACCGATGGCGCGAATAATACCAGAACACTGACGCTTTGTAAAATGTGAAATTCAAAGCCAGCTTCCTTATTTTGGAATTTTTTAGTTTGAAATCCCCCACCCTTTCCCCCCGCGGTCCTTGATGTGCCCGAGGTGAGGGGCACGTCAAAGCATCTGTGCATAGGACACCCGGATAGAAAACTACGGCTCTGAGTATAAAATATTATAGTTTGAGTCGTTTTGGGATAAGTACCGTATTTTTTAGCCCAAAAGGCGCACTTAAAATCCTTAAATTTTCTCAAAAATCGACTGTGTGCGCCTTATAATCTGGTGCGCCTTATGTATTAATTCTGGTTGTGTGTACTGACCTCAAACCGATTTTATGTGGTACACGGTGCTCAAAAATCTGTGAACTGTTTTAGTACGACTTTGGTAAACTACGAAGCCGCATCGCTTGATGGATTGACGAAGCATTACAGCGACCGTAGTCAGGAGCCTCGCGGAGTCATGTCCTTTAGTCCGACAGAAGCTGAACCACATCAGCACAAGGAACAAGATGTTTTTTTCAGTGCTTATAGTTTATGCAAATGAGCCATGTGGTTTTAAGTTTTGTTTCTGTAAAATACACATTACACATTATTACTATATTTGAGTCATTCTCATTGAAAATTAAAAAAAAAAAAACTTAAATTATCCATGTACCATATTTTCCGGGCTATTAGACGCGCTCTTAAGCCTCTAACCCCATCAAAAAATCGACCGCGCCCCACAATCCAGAGCGACCTATAGGCGAGTTTCATTGTTGACAAAAGCGCGCGTTGCATGCTGGGAATTATTTTGGTCGGCAGCAAGAAACACTAATTCAACATGACGGACGGAGCGAGAAAGCACGTAAAGGGTATTGATCCCGGTTATTTATCCACTCTAACGGCAGAGGACCCAAGACCATTTGACCAGAAATTGGTCATAAGCATCGACGGACGACAAATCACCCTTTTCAACCTCCGACAAAAGGTGGACCAAACCAACATTTCTGGTCAGAATCGCCAACTACCTGGACAAATATTCACTTTGGCGATATCCACAATGACTTGGTGGAAACTCCTGGGCCATTCACAGCAGAAAAGATGAAAACCTCCAAGAGTCTCGATGTGTTGTTGAACTTGTTGGAGTCCACGGTTTGTTAGGATCTTCTACGTTTGCTCTGCGGATGTTTGAAAGTCGTTTAATTCACCGTTAGCGGTTCTTTTCACTCAGAATACGAAAAAGACATTTTCCTTCTTCCGTGCTTCTATTTGTGCATCCGATAATGCAGCAGGAATTTACCATTATCAGGGATAAATACACGAGGTTACGCACTGTGTTTGACGCTACTGTGTTTCTTGCCTCCGAACAAAATATTTCCCAGCAGCAACGCGGGCTTTTAATAACAATGACGTCAGCTGAAACTCGCCTATACACGAATCCACTCAGGTGTCCCAGCACGACTTCAGTAAACTAAAAAGCCGCAAACACACACGGAGCAGACGGCGACCAAGCAGAGGAAAAACACCCACAGACACACTCATCACTCCACGCCGACGAGGAACGGAACGGAGGAACGAACCGAAAAAGCGAGCGCGACGTGCCGCTTCTAGACACGACTGAACAACTGAGTCACTGCGAACACGCCGACAATCCGTTGGTCCCAGACACACCCTCCCTACACGCCACAACTGAACAAAGCCCAGAGTCACCGTGAACAAACAAACAAACAAAACCACTCACCCATCACACTGTTGTGCTTCATTTAAAGTCCCAAGCGGTTTATTTGTGAAAAACGTTAGAAAATAGACCATTTAATGACAATGCGCCTTAAAATCCAGAGCGACTAATAGTGCAGAAAATACAGTATATATACTGTGTGTGTATATATATGCGTATATGTGTGAAATAAAACGACCAGATGTTTTGCTTTGCCGTGAAACATTTCCGTGCCGTATGATTGACGTTTCAGTGTGTTGCCTGATCCTCACCAGTGCAAAGCCAAAGGTTGAGCTCTGCCCCACATTTTGCCGAACCCAGATCTGCAGCCAGAGGCACTCGGCTTCATTTGACTGGAGCCGAACGCTGTGGGTGATGTCAGACTCACTTAGTCCTCTGCTTTATCCAGTCTGTGGTGTACCATAGTCACTTTCGGACGTGAACACTGTGTTATGTACTGGGACTTATAAATAACAGTGTTCAAAAGTGGGTGGGCTTTTTAAAACAATATTAATAATTCTAAAATGTCTTGTTTGAAAAGTGAAAGAAGTGAATGGACTCAAAAGTCAAACACAACAGATCACACATTCTTGTGGCTTTAATTTGCTTTTATGTTTTGTGTCTGTGAAGTATTTCACATTCAAAATAATCTAGACATTTGGAAAACGCAACTTTATAAACTACCCATCCATTTCTAGTCAGGTATTCAAGTATTAGATCTCCCTCTGCTGTCAGCAACACAATTAGAATGAGTCCGGTGCTGAAGTTTTATCTATGACGTAACAATCCGGGCAAAAAGTAACCACGGCATTTTTGAGACTCAGAGAAAACGACTCTGGATCAATGGATGGAAAACAAAATACAATTCCAGGTGTGTTTTTGATGAGTGAACAACAAAAGAGAAAGTATTACTATATTTCTATGTTTATAACTATGTCTTATTTGTCACCAGACACTTTTTAATATTGCTACTTAAGATAAGATAAGATAAGATAATCCTTTATTGTCTCCCATGGGAGAAATTTGTCTTGGGACAGGGGGTAACATGTTTTATCAAAAAACAGGACGACACAACACAAAGCAGCACATAAACAAACACCATAAAACAAAGTAAATATGAGACCAAGTATGACCACGAGTGATGCACCAACAGGACCCTTAAATTATCCTTAACAGGCCCTTGCATTCTTCTGTTCTATTAATTATTGCACATTCCCTAAGCCTATGTGCAGTTTTAGTTATAATTATTGCACATTCCCTAAGCCTATGTGCAGTTTTAGTTATAATTATTGCACATTCCCTAAGCCTATGTGCAGTTTTAGTTATAATTATTGCACATTCCCTAAGCCTATGTGCAGTTTTAGTTATAATTATTGCACATTCCCTAGCCTATGTGCAGTTTTAGTTATAATTATTGCACATTCCCTAAGCCTATGTGCAGTTTTAGTTATAATTATTGCACATTCCCTAAGCCTATGTGCAGATTTAATTATTGCACATTCCTTAAGCCTATGTGTAGCTTTAATGGCACATTCCCTACACCTATGTGCAGTTTTGATTGCACAATCCCTAAGCCTTTTATAATTATTTTTTAACTGCACTATTTGAGTTTAGCAGATTAACAGCTAGTGGCACAAAAGAATGTTTGAATCTGTTCAGTTTACAGTTTGGGACCTGAACCTTCTGCCTGACGGCATCAACTCAAACTGACTGTGAAGAACATGGGTTGGGTTACTTCTTTTGAATTTATGATGATATTACATATAGTTTTTCTCTTTGTTATTATATTATTTTGTGATGTTATTACTTTGCCCGGGATGTTCCATATTATAGCATTAAACCTACTGTCTCTATCTCCATGGAGACAGCAGCTGACGGAAACAAGACAAAAACACCTGTCATTTAAGAAATGCCTGTTAAACTCTTTTTAATATTGTAAAAAATTCAAGACAAAACGGTAACACTTCCACGGAGACGAGCGGGAGACAAGCCCAGCACAATAAAAGTTACATAATGAACCTTTAAGGATTTGAGAAACTAGTCCAGCTCCCCGCAGTCAGGCCCATCTCAAAGCTTTCACCTTGACGTAAGAGTTTGACAGCTTTAGAAATGTTCCACTGTGCTTCAGAACGGGGGCCCCTCGCTCGCGTCTTTCACATAAAGCCACTTCCACAAACACAGTCACATTAAGGAGGTCGTTAGTCACGGACGTGTTCACGGAGAGTCCCGGGCTGAACATACGGCTCCTCTGCTCCGAGACGAACAAACTGAGAGCGTACACAAGAGCTCCAGTATCACGGTTTTGATCGGAGTTTTTTGAGTGTCCGTGTAAAGTGAATTGAAAAACACTCTATAAAACCGAATGTACGTGTCTTTTTGTATGTTCCCAGTGTTTTGCATTGCTAACTTTTATTTTTTCTCTGTCTTTCTTCTTTTATTATTCTGCATAAATGTTCTTTGGATGGGTCCAGCTGCCCTCTCCCACCACCTGACCCTCACCACCCACCACCACCACCACCACGACCCCGCCCACCCCGAGGGACCAGCTCCGGACTCACCCGGACCCCGCCAGTACGGACTAAACAACGCAGACTCGCCAACGCCCCAATTTTACCCCCTCGCCCCTTTTACCATCCCCCACGAGGCTCCACCGCCATCTCCGGAGGCTCCACCCACCTCTCTGGAAGCTCCACCCACCCCATCCAGAGGCTCCGCCCACTGCCAACTGCCGGACTGACGACCAACTCCAAACTTTTCTAAGGCGGAAATGAGAGTAGCGTTTACATTTGCGGGAATTCTCCGGTTTTGCGCGGAGGTTTTAGCTACATTTACACCGACATTTGGTCTTTTAATCTTGTTACCACGGCGACTTTATTTTTCTACAAACTTTTCGTACGGTCACAATTCGTTGTCGTGAAAAAAGCAAAAAAAAAATTAATACAAGGCAGTTTTTTGTCGGGGTTGTGGGTGCTATTTCTTGAGGTCCCTCTCGAAGTCCATTTCTTGTACAGTAAGTCTTTTATTTTTCTTCCCTCTCAATGTGAAAAGTATTTTTTCAATGTATGTGTACAAAAGAATTTTATCGAACCAGGGGGCGCTCTTCTGATCTCACCGTATTTACGATTACGTATTACCGAGTGATTCTCCCATGTTATTTTCGTCGTAGTGCAACCTTATTTATTTATTTATTTATTCCGATTTTGTGTTCTGTTGTGCATCGTGCGCGTAGACTCATGACTTTGTACGAAAAACGATCCCGACCGGCGTTTACTGAGCATGCCCAGTTCTCTTTCTCTCCGCGTTTTCATGTTTTTACTGACGGACAGTGTGTATTGAGCCAAAAGATTTTATCGGGTAAAAATGTGTTTTGATTACGTTAAAAAAAAAAAAAGTAACTGCTCAAAAGATTTTGTTTCGGAGCAGTGTCCCGTTTTTCTATTTCTTCAAAATTAGAAAATCACGAATGAGCAAAGCCATCGATGCCTCTCTCACCTCAGACGAAGATGTCGGCGAATGAATGTAACGTGAATGTAACGATCCAGAGCGTAACGTCGTCGTTGAACCTCGTCTCTGGTGTCAGCACACACTGTCCCTTCGGCCGATACACTTTTATCTCCGTCCTTACGTCGCAAACAAGGACGACGTTCGGAAACATGCGATGACGACTTCCGGTGTAGTTCCCGACTCTGGGCTCGCCGACCGACTGAAGTAAATGTGATCAGCGGTAAAATGAAGACCGCAGACGTATGTGCTGTTCGGAATCGTCTGGAATTTGGCGCCGAATTTCGTCTCTTCTAATCGCGTGAACCCAGAGCGGGAAAAGATGAAAACTGAAGGTGTGGTTGTGATTGTTGATAAAACGTAACGGAACGATACAATCACATGGAGATGAAGAAAACTGAGACATTTTCTCATTTTTCCTAGATTTTGTCAGGCTGATTCATCAGAAGGTTTCACTTCGTAGAAACCGTCTGACCTCAATGAAAAATGAAAAAAACAGGTAACGATTAGTTTTTTCAGTTTTTGGTTTTGTGTTTAAATGAAGAATGGAAAAAAACGGATAGACCAGACCGACCAGACGAGACTGAGACCAGACCAGGACCAGACCGAGACTGAGACCGAGACCAGACCGAGACTGATACCAGACCGAGACCAGACCGAGAGAGACCAGAGACCAGACCGAGACTGAGACCAGAGACCAGACCGAGACTGAGACCAGACCGAGACTAGACCAGACCCCAGACCAGACCGAGACCAGACCATGACCAGACCGGGACTGAGACCAGACCAGGACCAGGACTGGGACTGAGACCAGACCGGGACCAGACCGAGACTGAGACCAGACCGGGACCAGGCCGGGACCAGACCGAGACCAGACCAGACCAGACCAGACCAGGACCAGGCCGAGACCAGACCAGGACCAGACCGGGACCACACCGGGACCAGGCCAGGACCAGACCGAGACCAGACCAAGACCAGACCGGGACCAGGCCAGGACCAGACGGAGACCAGACGGAGACCAGACCGGGACCAGACCAGACCGGACCAGACCAGAGACCAGACCGGACCAGGACCGAGACCAGAGCAGGACCAGAGCAAGACTGAGCCCGAGACCAGACCAAGACCAAACTGAGACCAGACCAGCGGCTTAAAGCCCACGGCAGGTCCGGAGCTCGAAGCTGAGGCTCGAACCCTGCGGAGGCTCTGAGTCAAAGCTCGGCGTTCGCTCTGGTCCCGCGCTGGTCCAGCTCTGGTCCCCAGGATCAGTCCTGGTTCAGTCCGTATGCAGTCCAGAAGTCCGGCATCGCAGTCACGTAAACTGGTTACCTGTTTTTTCCATTTTTCATTTAAACACAAAATCTAAAACTGAAAAAAACCGAATCATTATCTGTTTTTTCATTTTGATTTTGGAGACAAATAATGAAAAAAAATTGTTGTTTTTTCATTTTCTTATTTTTGGTTTTATATTGAAAAACAAATGAACAATGATACACAGATTCTGACAGAACGTAGGCTCGCTCCCGGGAAAGCGACGCAGACAATAAAGGCTGTGACATACATTTCCAGTTCTCCACTTTTCTGCTTCGTTTTGTAAACACGAACGCCATTTTTAAATCCTAGCCTCCGAGTGTTGTGGAGGTGAATTACTTTGCAGCACATAAACCTCAACGCAGATCCATAAATCAAAAACAACGGCGACAAAGCGACGGCGGCGGTGTGCGCTGAGGCGACACAGAACTATAATTCGGCGATCAGAGCCCGCAGGAAGTTGTCATCGCATGTTTCCAAACGTCTTCCCGGTTTGTGACGTAAGCTCTTTGGCCGGTCCACTCTGTCCCTCCGGCCGATCCACTCTGCGCTCCTGATTAAAACACATGTAGTTCTGTTGTGTCTCTTCTGTAAAGTCCTACTGTCTCTTTTGTTATGAATTTAGTCTTTGTTTTGTCATGAACTGTTTTCAGGTTAAATCTTCTGTTTCCATCACACCGTGTACAAAGCACCATGCACAGAATAATAAAAGCTATTGTAGACAAAGGAATCAGCTCCGTCTCGTTATTTCCACCAACACGATGTTAAATGTTGAAAATGAGTAAACAGGTTTTAAACTTTTAGGTTGAATTCATTGAAAACTGTAAACAGAGAAGTGGGGCGAGTGGGTGGAGAGAGAAACTGTTGGAATGAATCATTTATTTGCTGTAAAGCCAAGTTATAAATCAGATCTGTGGAGACACTGTGCCATTTTTGAGCTGATTTTTCACTTATGCGACTGTTTTTGGGATTGAACCTTGACTTTTGGCTCAATCGTGTGTCGTGCTTCGTGTTGTAAACATGGGGTAACGAGAACCGATTAATACCTCATGACCAGCTCCTGATCGGCAATCACAAGTCGCAAGAAAATCAAAACTGTTTAAAATCCAGTCGCCTCTCGTGAGGGTTTTGCTCTGCTGAAGTCGTTAGTTTAGTGTGAGAACATGAATCGTGAGCTGTGAACTTTTAAACCCTGCGAGTTGGTCGTACAGTTTAAGCTGAGGCTGAGTGAAACCATCAAAAATATCACACAGTGTCTGTCCGGCATAAAAAAGCATGTTTTTCAAGGTGGTTATTAATGTCAAACTATTAAAACATCCATCATCCGTTTTCTTCTGCTTTATCCATGGCCTGGTTGTGGAGGCAGCAGTCGAAGTAGGGACTCCCAGACTTTACTTTCCACACACACTTCCTCCTTCCTCTGAGGGGACCCTGAGGTGTTCCCAGGCCAGCCCAGAGACATAGTCCCTCCAGTGTGTCCTGGCTCTTCCCTGGGGCCTCCTCCCAGTGGGACATGCCCCGAGGCACCTCAGCTGCTCCTCTCGATGTGAAGGAGCAGCGGCTCTACTCCGAGCTCCTCCCGTGTGACTGAGCTCCTCAATCTGTTTCTAAGGGAGCTCCCTGACATCCTGCGGAGGAAACTCATTTCAGCTGCGATCTCGTCCTTTCGTGGTGGGGAGTCCCTGCCTCAACTGGAACAGTTCAAGTATCTCAGGGTTTTGTATTAAAACATGAAAAACAAAACTAGTTCATTTGATATGAATTACTGTGAATCCAAAGTTATTCCTCACTTTCCAAATGCATTCGAAGCTTTATTCACCGCAACTTTTAGAGACTGGAGTTTTGTCATCAAGGTGAAACTAACAACAACTACTATGCTAACCATGCACTTCCTGATTGTTGGCTTTACAGTTAGATGCAGACAGTACACAATCATTATTTGCCACTGGCGTCCCACTGTGGCATCTGGTGTTCTCACTGGTCCAAGTCCTGACCAGGTCCTGCTGAGATCTGACGAGATCCGACTTTGACAAACCGGTGAGACCTGGAGTAAATAATATGTCTGTGTCTTCCCCAGGAATAAAAACATGAAACCAAATCAGATAAAACCATTTTAAATACACATTCCCTATGTCAGTCTCATATTGGTCATGTTTATATGATGTCTTTTAATTCCGTGTTAAATAATTCTGAATTAAAATATCCTCCTTCGAGTTTACATGGAAATAATGATTCTGAATTGAGGTTTACATGGAAAACCGTTAAATCATCTTTATTTAATTCCGCTCATCGTCTGGAGGTGGGGAAGGTTCTGATTGGACAGAGACACGAACGTATTTACGTCGACCGGAAGAAAACAAACACTTCAGCTGCTACAGGCTTTTCTGTCATCTCGGTTTGTCTTTACTCCACGGACACAAACGCGATCCAAACTTTTTCCGCAGTGGTTCTGATGATAATTGCGCAGCAGCTGGAGAATTCTCTCATCACGCGTTACGTCTGTCGGCCGAGGAGGAGAAGGGAAGAGTGTCGGAGAAGGAGGAAGAAGACAAACTGAGTCAACGGCTGCTCGACCTCAGCCCACTCCCACATCCCGCTCACAAATCCAAAGAGACGTGGAGGAAAGTCCGAAGACACGACTGGTGGAGCCGGATCGAAGGGCGACACAACGAGCAGGAACTGAACGACCGGGATTATTTTTAAGAAGAACCACCCACTTACT